TCTTAAAATAATAATAAAAAAAATGTTGAGAGAATAATAATCATTCAAAATCATCCCCTAGTTTGGAATGTAATTAAATATGATAGGTACACTTAAAACATGAAAACATTATATATTGTATTTTTGCTTTTGTCTCTCTATAATTAGTTAGAGAGAAACAATATTTGGAGGTGATTAAAGTATTGTTTAACAAGAGTTAAATGGTATTTATCAGGAAATTAGATGATCAACCTGGTTATTTATAATGGGTGAATTTGAACCGTAAAACTACACATAATTACACACACCAACGTGTATGTTGAATAATCAGGTGTAACATCCAACTTCCTTTATTTATCTTATTTAACTATTTATATTTGAAATCTAATATTTTCAAAGTGACTTATATCTTAAAAATATAGCATATTTTCTTAAATGGTAGAAGACATAAATGTCAATCTTCACAAGCATTATTCTCCCTTAAAAAGTTAAAATAAAATAAAATAAAATAAAATAATAAAAAAAATAAAAAATAATGAAGAAAAAAACAAAGGCACCACTTATGTGGGGACAATAATCATACATATGAATTAATAGATCGAAACATGTCTTATAATATCTTCATCTTTGTCACTCCAAACTCCACTTCACCCCCTCTATATATGATAATTACAACCAATAATATTTTTTCAAGAATCCAAATAAAATAAAATTTAATAAAAAAAATAAAAATGCAAAGTGAAGATCAACAACAACATCCACAAGAGTGGTTGAGTCTAGGACTCGGCGGCGTAAAAAATCGACGACAAGAACTCAAAGAATCACAATCGCCAGAGCCGAAGATTTTCTCATGCAACTTCTGCATGCGGAAATTCTTCAGCTCGCAAGCGCTCGGTGGGCACCAAAACGCTCACAAGAGAGAGAGAGTTGCTTTTAGGGATTACCAACATTCACACATGGCGATTGTACGGCCTAGATCGCTCGGGGTTCAACCTCACTCCTTCTTGCAAAAATCAACGGCCACAATTGCAAGATTTAGCGAGGCTAATACTAGATTTGAGGTAGAAGAACCGTCGGAGGATTTTGTGTGGTATGGAAGCTTCCGGATCGATCGGCCGGTTCATCGGCAGAAGCCGTCGGATTCTTCGGATGTGCTCGACTTGAACCTCAAGCTCTAATAATCAGTTATGTATCTATCTATTCATCTGTTTATATATATATATATATATATATATATATATATATATATATATATATATATATATACCAATATTATTAACTAAAGTTTTATGCATGTATTCTATGAAATAATTTCCAATTTTAAGCAGTTGTTTACAAATATTTTTTATTTGCGAGAAAAATAAAAAATAATAATTAGCCATTAAAATATTGGGCTCGAGCTATTGAGTCTCTAATTGGATGAAAATATATGGACTCAAGCCCATTGGAATATGAAAATACGATACGATACATGAGTGGATTAATCGGCTCCGATTATTTATGAGCAAGGGGTAATTACAAGCACCCATGAGGTATGGTCAATTTACGAAAAAATTCCTCTTGTTTGGATAATTACATCTACCCCTCAACTATGACTTTTTCTTACACCTCCACTCTTATGGTGTCAAATTGAACATAATCATCCAGATTTGCATGGAATGTGCTCTAGTTTGTACACGTTTTGTGTACAAGTACAGTTTCTGATGTACCACAATCTGATATATATATATATACAAGCCAAAAACACATATTATGATCATCTTGCTTCAAAATATGGAGTTCGAATGGGATAAAGCGTACAAAAGTGATAATATTCCATATAATCTCGAAGATTCCACTAAATTTGAAAACGCAAGGGCGGACGTGTGAGAAGATTTATAGTTAAGAGGGGTATCTGTAATTACCCAAACAGAAGAAATTTTTTTGTAATTAACCATACCTCAAGAGGTGGTTGTAATTTACCTTTTTTTTATTTATTAATAATTTGAAGTTAAGTTCTTTTAAGTATTTTGTAATTACATCTGCAAAATTTTCGCTTACGAATCAATTGAGTCAACTAATCAATCGTTTAAGTCAATTGATTTATAACTGAGCCAACTAAGACAACTGAGTCGCATGATATAAATCAATTGATGCAACTCATTTTAAAAAAGTTGAGACAACTAATTTACAACTAAGTCAGATGAGATGGAGAAGAGTTGGATCAACGATTGAACGGTAGGTTGTAGGATTCGAGAAGATGATGTACTTATTTCAGGAGCCGCTCGCTTATCGCTAATTGTCATAGAACTTAGTATTGTGCTTTGATAAACTAATGAGCGAGTCAAGTGATTCATGGTAATTCAGATAATTTATTAATAGATAGGCATTAGTTATCGAAATGAACCCACATTTATGAGATTTAATGTATTTCTTAAATTTAAATTATCTCAAATACGATCTTATTCAATACACACCAAATGCGTGCTAGCATAATTAATCAAAACAATTATTTTGGTGAAACTTTCAATTCTGGCACTAAAAAATAACTTAGCTAGATTTGAAGATATTGCCTAGTCTAACTAGCAACTGTTTGGCGCCTTCAAAGAACTATAGTTAGGATTAGGTATCACATATTATCCATCTAACTTAGCAATACTTAGGCCTTGTTTGGTTGAGAAAATTATCATTATATTAACAATTTTATTGAATTTTATTTGATGTTTGACATCCTAATAACTTATTAGGTTGATTCGCCAATATTATGTTATTATGGCTTATTTTGCCATTTAGGCATATTTGTTATTAATATTCCAAGATCTAATAATATAATTGAGTTTTCATTAAGTTATTTAATCTTATCTTTTTTAATCTTATACTGACAACCAAACGAGGCCTAAAAATAATAATAAAAATAATAACGGGAGAGAGAAAAATAAGAAATTTTTTTTTTTTTTTTTTTTTTTTTTTTTTTTTTTTTTTTTTTAATAATACGTAATATAATAGAAACCCCCATTATGTTATGGGTTGATTACATGAAATATATATAGAGAAATATTGCAAGGTAATAGAGTTTGACTAGGTAACTAAATCCTAATTAATATAGGAAGAAGAATAGAATAAGAAGGCAGCGGCTAGGTTTTAGGCCATGGAGAAGAAGAAGAAGAAGAAGAAAAAGATAGAGAAGATACACCACCGAGAGAGGAAGAAAATTCGGTTTGGTGTCGCCGGCCATTGAGAAGAAGAGAAGCGGCGGCTAGGTTTTAGGCGTTTTAGGCCATGAAGAAGAAGAAGAAGAAGAAGAAGAAGAAGAAGAAGATAGGAAAAGATAGAAAAAGAAAGATATTAAGAGTACCACCACCGGGGGAGGGAGAGAATTGGGTGGTCACCGCCATGGAGAAGAAAGGCGGCTAGGTTTCACCGCCATGGAGAAGGAAGGCGGCTAGGTTAAAAAACCTAAACCTGGTGCTCTGATACCATATAGGAAGAATAGAATAGGAGAAAGAGAGAAATAATAATACGTAGAATAGAAACCCCCATTGTGTTATGGGTTGATTATATGGAATATATATAGAGAAATATTGCAAGGTAATAGAGTTTGACTAGGTAACTAAATCCTAACTAATCTAGGTAACCGAATCATACTAGAATCCTAATATTACAAGAGTTCTATAATATAATATTCTCAATATTCTCTAACAATTTCTATATAATAAAGATAAGAAAAGGTCAAGTTACAACGAAAAGAATTATAGTAACAAAGATAAAAATGCAAATTACGGCCAACCCCCTAAGGTAATGCTAAATTACGAAAAAACCACTCTTGTTTCGGTAATTATAGCCAACCCGCAACTATGTATTTTCTTACACGTCCACCTTTACGGTGCCAAATTACCTACTCCATAACGGGCTTTTTCGTACAAATAATACATAGTTGAGAGATAGTTGTAATTACCTAAACATAAAGAATTTTTTCTTAATTTAATTGTTACAATAACTACATAAGTTTGGCGC